TTTTAAATAGACATGGAAAATCTCATGGTTATAGAAACAATTGAGGGAGGAATATATTTGTATTAATGCCAATGGTCAAACAGATTATGATCACAATGATTGCTAAGGTCAAGATCCTGCCCATCAAAACATGCATTTTGGTCACTTTATAACATGATTAAAAGTATAATCCAACATCCTGCACTTGAATGATGCCAAGCCATCACTGCTGTAGGAATATAATTCATTCATTTAAATCTAGTGTCCCCAGTAGGTAGCTTCTGTCCAATGAAAGATCTGCGGAACACACACACACCTATGCAGAAAGGTACCTTTTATGATCTGCAAATTACTCTGAGGATCATGACCCGAACTGACAACTATGAGAACTGATACCAGTTGTTTTTCCAGCTTTTGTCCCTTTTAATTTCTTTAAAACCCAAATTATTCATGAAAAGAAATTGTGCAGAAAATAAAAATCTGGAAGCTGTGTGGTGGGTGGCCGTGTGCTATGTTAATTTGTACTTTTCTGAAGAGTATATTTACCAATTAGTTTTTCAGGTTTAACTAAACTGAAAGGAGTGCCTACTTTCCACTCAGGAATATAATTTTTTAAGATCAAAAAGGGAGCAAAAGACAACATAAAGAAGGATTTGTAAGAATGTTTCATATGATAGTCTACAAATGAATTGAATGCCCCAGTCATAGTAAGTAATAATCACATTTCCACAGGAAGTTAGTTTATCATGTTATTAGTTTACAGTGGAAGTAACACCAGGTAATAAAGTTCTTTGGATATTTTAGGTCCTCCATGTTCTGATTCTTGTATTTCTTAGATGTTCAAATAAACATAAATATGAGTTGATTAAATGTTTTGCTATAGCGCCGATTGTTTACCAGGAACCTAACAGTTTGCAAGAAAAGGTTTACCTTAACAGAGTTTGCCTTAAAAAAGAAGATCGTGTTTGTTTTTCCATATCACTATAATCCATTTCCATTCAATAACTGAAAAGTAATCTATCTGTATATAAAGACTTAAGAATCTTTACTCTCATGAAAGTCTTTTTAAAAATCTGAGATGTCAAAAGAGAGAAAAGATACCAACTTTAGGCTCCCCTTCCTTACTAAGCTTACAAGGAAACAACATTCTGTTTGAATCAATGGGGTTTATTTGCATGTCATTTTTTATATAAAGCTCAGAGTGCCAAAGTATAATAAATTTCTAAAATGAAACCAAAACTGTATTCTCCATATGATCATTAATATTCAATGCAGCAGTTTCTTTTAAATGACTACATGTTTTGAGTAACTGGAAGTGCATTCTGGGTATATTCCCCCTCCCCTTGCATTTGCCAGAATGCAACCCCATATGCCCTGTTTTGTAACCAAGCTCTCACAGAATTCTACCATCACTTGAGGTTCGTACACTTGAGTTTTCAAAACCACAGCACAGACTCACATCCTGTGGAATGTCTCGGATAAAGGTTGGCATAGCTGAAAGTTTTAATGTAATTTTCACAGTATTGTCTAATTTTGTTTTTAAAAAGTCACAGCTGCTTTCACAGAAAAGAAATGTTGTATTCTTTCTATGTTTTAAAATAGGCTTCCATACATGTCTTCAAAAATGTGTGTCAGTATTTCTAGCAGTGACGTCAGTTTTTCATTTACATTTTAACAGGAAGAAAACAAACACACGCACACAGCATGTTTTTGGCTCAAGGAGAGAAATTGAAAAGCCACCTTTGATGCACATGTGTACCAGCATATATTCACATGTTTGCTCGTGCTGCTGGTACATTATCAATATGAACTGTATGTACTTTAGGGTATACTTAGGACACCATCAAGAGAATATAGGGTATGTTTGGGCTGACATATTAAACTGACCTTGCAGTGCACGAACAATAACCCACACACAAATTCACAGGGCTCATACATCCTCCTCAATTCTCTCCATGTTGCAGGTACTGGTAGCTAACACCTGTCATTCATCTGTTTATCTGAGCCACATATTGATTTTGCTGATAGCCATTTCTGAGTGGTGCTACAACCAGCCCTAATACGATTTTGAGTTCATATTTTATTTCAGAGGGTGTAACCCTATTCCTTTTGGCATCAATGACAAAATTCGTATTGATTTCCAAGAAGTGAGAATCTGAACTGAAGCTCTTTTGTGCTACAGAACGTTAGGCGTCATGTAAGGAACCTAAAGATCCTGGAAGACCATAGTGAGAGACGGAGTCCAAGTAGGCCTATTAAATCATTGCTTTTTTCCTCTCTATCATTGTGAAATTGTAACTGACAGCATCGACTTAAATAGTTTGTCCATTCCAATTTTTTGTGTCATTTTCTGATGCCTGAAAAATCTGGCTTAGAAAGCAAAACTGGTCATTTCTATTGCTGTAACTCTGCAGAAACCAGGGGGGATTTCTCCCCAATCAACTTTAGATAAATTCTGATGCCTCATGTGAAAATGGCTAATTTTCA